TATATATATATATATAAGGGTGTATATAGGTTAGGGGTTGGTTCGAATTTTTCAATTAACAAACCAAACTAATGGTGTCGGATTTTTAAATTTATAAACCAAGCCAAACCAACAAAGTCGGATTTTTCAATCTCGGTTTTTCTCGAGATTTTCGGGTTTTCGGATTTTTTTCTGGTAAAGTCGTCATAGCATAAAATATGTAATTTGTACTCCAAATATTTCTTAAGTCCGAGTAAAATACAACAATATAATTATTTTTCAAGAAACTAACACAATAATATGAGATAAGTCATAGCATTATACTAAAATATTCAATAACAAAGATAAAATAATTAAATTACATAAATAAATATTGCTAATTAATAGGCCATAATAAAAATTAACATAATCTAAAAATAATATATAGGTCATGCTAAAATAGATATAGCTAATAAGTACTAATATTAATTACATAACTAAGCACTAAAGAAAAAGATAAACTAAATAATGCATTTTCATTATAAACCAATGTAAAACTAAAATAATTATCCAACACTATCGTCATTCCTGGTATTGAATTGAATTTCTTTTGTTAGCATTAGTATTGATTTGAACTTTGTTTGAGTTACTATATTTATGAGCTATAAAATTTATTTACCATTCAAGAATGTTAAGTCTAAACTTGAAATAATACGCTAAAAGATATAACTGTAAAAAAGTTTAAGAAATATTTATAAATTATATTACAATAAATATTTATATGTATAAAATATTTTTAAAAATCATATAAATGTACTATCGGGTTGGTTTGGTTTCGGTTTGACTTTTTTAGTTAAAACCAAACCAAACCAATTATGATCAGGTTTTATTTTCCAATACCAAACCAAATCAAACTAAACCACATCGGATTTGTTTTTCACGGTTTGACTCGAATTATCAGTTTGGTGCGGTTTATCGATTTTCTTTGTACACCCATATATATATAGTAGCAGATTATTACTACATTTTTTATGTTTTAAAATTGAAATGTAAGTAATCTTTGTGGATTCAGGCTTTATCTTTGACGAGTTCAACATAACCTTTTTCTTTAAAAATAAAGCATTGGACTTTTGAAATTATGGGTTCAAAATTTAATTTTTTTGAAAATTAGTGAGTTTTCACCTACATATATCTATATTTCAATGTCAAAAATCACTGAGCTTAACCTAAATGGTAGAGGTGGATATAACCTTTGGACGATGGGGATAGACTGAACTTAGTATTTTTTATATGTGAAATATAAATATGTATATGAAAAATCACAAAAATAGTAATATCTGAACCCATAATTTTAATAGCACAATAATTTTATTAGTCTAAGAACCTTAAAGGCCAGTTAATCCATCAAATTTAAATTTTGACTTTGCCTTACTTAAGTTGTGAGAAATTATACATTGTCACTGCACACAAAGTTAAAAATCTTATCACAATACTCTTAGGAGTGATGGGAAGAGCAGAGGATGAGCTAGGATTTGAACCTTATGGGTGCGAGATTATAAACCTTTTAAGTTATTGAATTCTAAATTAATATTTTGTACATATTTACTGAATTTTTTAATATAAATACAGAATTTGAACAAAAACTACTTGGTTCGACCGAACCCGTAAACAGCATTGTGTCTCCGCCCTTGAGAAAGAGTGGTTGAATGTTAGTGTTGCCCATTCTACATAACAAAATGCGACATAGACATGCTGTGTGTCGCTAGCGGCGGGCCATGTGAGTAAGGAGCGTGGCAGAAAATTAATGACTTAATTAGATTTGATGAGATTAATCAGTCATTAGAGCATCCAATTCAATTAGTTTAGAATGGTAGCCTAAGGTACTAGACAATCTTAAGTTGTTTACAGTTATGGATGCATGTCTGTTGGATATATATAATAACACTAATAATATCGTTAGATAGTCATCAAATATTTTATTAAGTAAATCTTTTTATTATTATCAGTAAAATTGAAAGTTTTTTAGGGTATCTGTGAAGAAGATCTAAGTGAAGGTGGTGAGGGTGGAATTAATTTAAATCGGGTGTTTATTAATCGGTGATTTTCAGTTGAACTTGAACACATTAGTTATTGGAATTTTTATATAAACAGCTGATTAAATTCATTTACTATTTTTAGCCGGTATGCATAGATTACTCACTCATTATATACGGTTCTATGCATATTATACAAAGATTATACATAAATTATATATCGGTTGTTATTTTCAGTTTGAGCAGTTTGCGATTTCATCTTGAATTCGATTATAAAACATTTTCACCAGCCCCTAAACTAACAACATTAGACACAAAAATGAAGTAAGAAAAGGGTCGATCTCTTCTTATTTCCTTAATCTTGAACTTTTACTTTGAGGGGTCTTTTTCATAACGTGGTGTCATGTTAAGATTTTGTGAAAATAATTGAATAGAAAAGATTATAGGCAAGAGGATATATGATGTATCCAATTTGCTAACTTTGTTAGAATAGTATTCATCTATATATCCCTTTAACGTACTATGATCAGACCTTAAAAATATTATTAACATTATTTTATGGATTATTAATGATGATGAACAGGTTGGCTCAATATTCTGATGGATCCTAAAGTACCATAAATTTTGGAAAAATTCTTAGATTCCATGAATTTTGGTTTAATTTCCATCATGCTGCAAGAGGTTGGGGAAATAAGAGACATGTTTGTACTTGTCCAATGCAAGAGAATAAATACGGTTCAAGTTCCGTGCACTAATCGCGTATAAATTTTCCATATTATTAAGTTAAGTTAATTAGAACGGGATCATTGAATCGAAAGTAAAGTTGTCTCAGATCTATAGATCACAGGTTCGAGCAATGAAATCAGTAATTGATGTTTGCATCAGAGTAAGTTGCCTACATCACACCCTCATAGGATGTTATCCTTTTTCGGACCCTGCGTGAACGCGAGATACGTTGTGCACTGAGCTGCCCTTTATAAGTTAACTCATAACAACAGATAAATTACATGATAGCAAGATCAATATAGTAACTTGAAAAATAAAATAATAACATATTATAACATATTAAATTCACTAATAATTTGTTTTTTTAATAATATATATATAACTTAAATCCATAATTGCGTAAATAATAATACCAAGAAAAATTAAGTTGACATGAGATGGCTTCAGCGTGAGGCAAGCACGTGCTTAGATGCATCGAACTTCGTAAAAATCACAAAAGCGATGCAATTGAGATTTTATTAGTTACTTAATGTCTGACTAATCCGTCCCTATAATATTAAAAAAAAGAACTTAGTTGTATTGCAATTAAAAATGAAAAGAAAAAGATAAAGATAGAGAGAGATGAAGATGCAAATTTGCATTGGATCCTTCGCCGAAGTAGGACTATTATGCAAGGAACAACTTCTAGCATTTCCCTATCACACACACACATCAAAAATGTTTTTTTTTTTGGTTTTTTAGTTTTCCACCGGTGTCCGGTACCCGTATTGGAGCGTGATTATATTCGAATTCGCACCGAGTAGGATCCTATTCGGGGGCCTACCAAAGATTTTTCCATACCCAAGACTCGAACTCGAGACTGATAGTTAAGGAAAGAACAGTCTCATTCGTTCCACCGCATCCTTTTGGTGGTCACACACATCCAAAATGTTGGAAAAGCTAAATTCCAACAAAGTCCAGTAAAAAGAATTCACTAGTATTGCTCCATTTTAAATATTTTAACACTGTCTTAAAATATTTTGTGTTCCCACAGGGTCCGGAGGATCGCACCCTAAAGAGTGTGATGTAAACAGTCTACCCTAAAGCAAGCATTAGGGGATGTTTTCACAATTCGAACCTATAACCTACAGGTCATACGAAGATAACTTTACTGTTTATCCAAGGATCCGCTTCACACTATTAACATAATTATGCTATAATTATTTTTAAAAATAATTACAGATAAGCATTCAGAATATGTAGAATTAATTATAATCTAAAAAATAAGATAGATTATCTGTTATAACTTTGCTTGTGTAAGCTTGTTTATATTATCGGTCCCGATCCCAGCTTGTTTGGCATGAAAGCTTAGTTATTGTTATTCTTAGCTTATACAGATTAAATCCCATCATTATATTCTCTTTTGCTTCCCTCTCCACCTTCTCCCTTTTCATATTATATATCTATATGTACCTGCATTCTTCTAAGGTGCTATATTTCTCTAAGTTAGACATCACTATCAAAGTCTCTCTCTAGTATCACTCAATATCTTTTTGAGTTTACTTCTTCTTGTCATCTATTTTCTGTTTCCATATCTTTATTCCTCTCCCCCTCAATTGCCTCATTGACTTGTACTTTACACTCAAAAACATATTCATGTGCTCACAATTCAATTCATCTTCCCTTATGTTTCTCTCGAACTCGAGTACCGATTGCAATTTCTTGTCAAGACCCATTTTAGATTTTCAAAATGGGTGTCAAAATTCACATTTAGAAGACACAAAAGTGACTCAAAATCAAGAAGATCAAAGACAAGAACATACACAACAAGAAGTTGACAAGAAAGAAGAAGTAGAAGAATTTGAAGATGTTAAGGATTCTTGTTTGAAAGTTAAAGAAGATGAAGTGAAAATTCCAACATCACCAAAATGTAATACTAAACATATGATTTGTCCACCAGCTCCAAAGAAGCCAAAGTCAATTCAAATTACAAAGAGAAAACAAAGAGTGTTTCTTGATGTTTATGATGAAGTAAAATCAATGTTTCCTCCAGCTTTATTAGCAGATCTTGGTAACAAAATCAAGAAAGTTAGGAGAGAAAGTTCCATTTTATAAGTTTTTATTTTAGTTTCTTACATATGATAGATCTTTACTGTGTACTCAACCCTACTAATTAAGAAAAAGGAAATTCTCAGGTTTCTGTAACTTTGTTTAATTTGATTCCATATATATTAACCGTATTGACAACAATTGATGTTATGTTGTTACTCATGTATATTCCATTTACTTCATTTCTATCATCCAATCTAGTAATATATTCCTTTTCACTTTCATTTTTTCATTAATATGTTCATGAATGGTCAATCTTTGCAACCCTAAAACTGGATCTGCACAAGCTGATGCAGATCTAGGACGCGAGTTCTATGAATTCAACTGAACTCAATCTTCAACCCGAATTATGTATGCTATGTAAGAAAATTAAAATATATTCATATAATGAGATCACTTTATATTGTGAACCGCTGATTCTATATTTTGAATTTGCACTGTACAAATCTCTACAATTGTGCATGCTAAAGAAGACAATATAGGATACGAAATACTTCTCTGCATATTTTTATATATGAAAACAATCCAACTTTAAATTCTCTAATTTGATTTAATGTTAATCACATATATCTATAGCAATGTATAGAAATATCACACCATGTTTAATACCCTAAATTTTAAAATTTTATTTTTGCTAAACTCTGTATCCAATCAAATATTGTAACATAAAATGAAACGGAAAGGGTATTTAGGGTTGATTAGGGTGCATCTTATTTGCTTTTTTTCCTACTTCTTTTTTTTAATGTTTCACAAAATAGAAAAATGAAAGATATATTTTTGGCATATGACTTTTACCAAGATATGGAGGAACACAAAAGACAGCATTGACTTCACCAAGACGCAAATATGCCTTTACTGCATAGTTTTCATCAAATGCCAATAGAAGTAAAGAAAACCGTGAAAGAGTATATTCTCTATGCCAGAAATTTAACCAAATACTACTGTACTCGTCCACATTACGTGATCATTTTACTTTTAGCATATTCATTAAAAAGAATACAAATTTTTAGAGAAAAAAAGTTATATTCACTAAATTAACCTTAATTAATTGTTACATTGACACATTTGAATATGTAAATAAGGGCAAATTTTAGAAAAATAAAATTTTTTCCTTCTTGATTAAGTAAATGAACACTTATTTTGGACCAAAATAAAAAGATAAAATAATCAATTATTATGGATCGGAGGAAGTATATTTTTTCCCTAACTTCAAGGTTACAATAATACTTATTGCTTTTAATTTAGATCTTAGAGTATAGTTTAATTGGAAAAAGGGAAGTTTTTAAGTGTTGTTTTATGGTTGGCCTCACTTCCCATGCACTCATCATTAACTTTTCAGACTCTTTTCACTTTTTATCACATGAGACAACCTCTTATTTTGGTGCAAAGTACTATTGCAATAACCCACGCCATGTGACTTTAAAATGTACTAGTACTAATAGTTCCTTTGCAAGTCTTCACATGCAAAAGAAAATGGAAAATATACTTCACCAATTAAACTTCGAGTTTAACTATTACATATTAATAATATAAAAAATATTACTCCGATAAGATAACTTAACACATAATTACATATAATCATTTATATTAAGTAGCTTTAGTAACCTGAAAATGAGCTAATTTTTTCGTTAAATCTATGTCTGAACTTCTCTACTATTTTAGATGCTTTCTTGGGATTTAAGATTCCTAACGTTTTAACTCAAAAAGTATAATCGTTCTCTCTTCCTTACAATCTAACCATCAAGGAGATTAATTGATTACTCCAATAAATAGCATAACCGACTAACCGTGACAACGGAACTATACTAAAGACTTACCCAATTAATTGTAAAAATCTCCGCAGTCGATTATTGCAAACTAGAAAATGCAAGGTGATTACTTGACACAATAAGTTAAAATACACAAATAATGTAAGACTTTTACACTATCTCTTAATCTATATAATTCTTTTGCGCTTAAATTAAGAAACTAAATTAGGTTTCAATATGGATCATGTTCTAGAGAAAACTTCAAAAATAAGTGTACAACCAACTCCCGGTAAAGTCTCCAACTCTCTTATAAATTAGGTTTCTCAAAATCACTTTTTTTTCCCCTAACTTGAGGTGTTTGGCAAAGCTTTTTTTGGGAAAAAAGTACTTTTGGGAAGAAGCAGTTTCTAAGAAGCAGAAGAAAATAGCTTCTTCCCAAAAGCAGAAGCAGAAACAGTTTTGACTTTTCTTCTTACCAAAAATAGCCTTAACAAAATATAGGATATACCAAAATAACCGTTAAACTTAATACTTAGGATATTAATGTATAAATATTTTTTTGTTATTTTTAGGATAACTTTCTAATATATAGTGACTTTAGGGGTGAATGCTTTTATATTTATTGAATGATTTTTAATATATTTAACTTATATTAAAAGAATTAAGTACTTTTAATTTTTTTTGTTCATATTTTACTTAAATAAATTAAAAGATTTAATTATTGCATGTAATAATAAATTTTTAAGATTATTTATTTACTTATAATATTAACTATTAAGTAAATTTATTCATGTCCTTATTCGTAATTTGATATTTAAAGCACTTTCTAAAAAATTTGGCCAAACACAAATTATTGCTTAAAAGTGCTTTTCAGAATGATTAACCAAACACAAATTGCTTTTCTCCAAAAGTACTTTTTTCAAAAATACTTTTAAAAAAAACACTTCTCAAAATAAGTTTGATTTCTCGAGCTTGACCAAATAGGCTATTAGTGAGAGTCTAATAAGCGATTAAAATTTGCCAGTCCTCATTCTTTTATTAAAATTTATCTTTTGATATATATCTTAATTATTAAACACTAACCAAGTAGTTTTTTTGTCCTTGTGTCATCATTAATCACGTATATGTAACCATAATTACTTGAATAAGTAATTGTTAAGAAATTAATTTATTAGTATTGTATTTTTTTTTTCGCTTTCTTGAGGCACGTACGTAATATGCGGCTACCAACTCCATGACTGATTTTTAATGTAAAATCAATTATGATTGACCAAGCTTATGGAAAAAACTACTTGAAGAACAAAAGAAAGAAAAAGATCCTAAATGATAATTTTGTTTAATACGAATATATTATTTTTGATCGGATGTGTTGAAAGCTTTGACGGAAGGGAGCTTTGACGCAATAGTAAAATGATGTTGTCGTATGAACATCACATGTTTAAGCGGCAAAAACAACTTTTTATAAAAATATAAAATAAGGCTGCGTATATATGAGATTCAATGTGATTTGACTCTTTACCAGATGTTACGCTTAGCGAAAACTTAATGCGATGAACTGTAGTATCTTTTTGTTGGAAGCTTTGACATGAAAATCCATAAGTTGCAGCCGGCCATGGTAGTATTGTAAAGCGAAACGGATAGGTAATTAATATTAAAGAATGTTTATAAATAATGATAAGTATGGAGTAAACACGTCCAAATTAATTAAATGATAAGTAATAAGATTTTGACTAAACTTGTAATAAATGCCCAAATGGCAAGCATCTGTTACCCTCGACAAGCTTGTGCCCTTGCTGGGCACAGACTAATTGTCTTCTTTCTGCTGTTTCGAGAATCTCAAATATGTTACTATCCAAATAAAATAGAATAAAACATAAATCGCTAGTACGTGTGCGTTTCAACATATCGTTAGCATGAGTTTCGACGATAGTTTAGTTCCTATTTAGATTTAATTTTTTTATGCATCCATTTGACAATATTACATTTGGATTCAACAAATTTCGATGAACCCATTTGATGAAATTTTTACTGTTCACTTCTTTATAATATTGAACCCCCTTGTTCGGAATCCTGGATCCGTCAATGATTGTTAGATCGGTTTGCTTGTTATTACCCTTCCCCTCTCCCTGTCTTGAGCCGATGGTCTACCGGAAACAGTCTCTCTGCCGTCTTAAAGGCAGGGATAAGGTCTGCGTACACTCTACCCTCCTCAGACTCCACTTGTAAGACCACACTGAGTATGTTGTTATTATTGACTAATTCTTAGATATCAGCAATTTAGAGTGGCTATTTGGTGTCATTTCTATCCAAAAGTTGTCATTGGGTGAAATTAAAAAATAGCCAGATTTACAAGTGATAATTGAAAAATAGTCACAATTTCAAAAGTAATCGAAATTTAGCCACTGTTCATGTAAAGATAAATATGAACGAAAACACTGTTCAATTTCCAAAAAATATTCCAGCATAATATACTGGAGTTCAAATTTTTTACATGTGAATTTCCAGCATAATATACTGGAGTTCAAATTTTTTACATGTGAATTTCCAGCATAATATACTGGAGTTCGAATTTTTTACATGTGAATTTCCAGCATAATATACTGGTCCAGCATGATACGCTGAAAATTCATATACAGGTGCTCCAATCTCCAGTATATTATGCTAGAACTTTTCGTGTTGCAGCAAAATAGTGGCTATTTTTCAATGACTTTGTAAATTATGACTATTTTTCAATTATTAGTCCAAAAACTGGCTAGTCCATACTATTTTCACGCTTTCATTAAATGGACTATTGTAGAAGCACAAAAACAGGAAGTTTTGTTTTCTCTTTTTTTTTTCCTTTTCAAAGCGGTATATTTATAAAATTTACACGTTAGATTCGAAAATATCCATAAAAAACTAATAAAGAAAACACAATTATTAAGTTGGAAAAAGAATATTTTATATTTTATTGAACTTAGAAAAAGTCAAAAGACTTTGATTTTCTTGCTGCTTTTGGTGAATTTTTGTTTGTTTTTCTTTTGTTTTTCAATAAATCATTTAAATTTCCACAATATACATCCTTATTTTCTCATGTTAGAGCTCTTTTATTATTTTACAACTGAAAAAAAAATCTTCATTTTTTTCATTTAACTGATTTTTGCCCACCTTTGCAACAGAAGTGGAAAGGGTTTGATTAACATTTCGGATCGTGCTGTTTGGTCTAACCCAATATTAGGTCTTTGCTTTTTTCTTGTTGAGTCAATTTCTAGCCCAACT